ACCGAAAACGTCCCTCGGGTTAATCAGCATTCATGTGCATTTCAATCGGTTCTCCAATTTATGCGCGAACAAAAAGGCCTTCTGAGTAAATTCCGTACGCTGGTCAGAGACGGCATGTACTGTAATAGCTCATTAGTGCTTCAACATTTACAGTTGCCCTGAATGGTTTGAATGGGTAAATTTCATACCAGTTTTTTTATAAGCAGTTGCAGTTACTTCACCGTTCCAACGATGCGTTATCACCATCCTTGAGAACAAGTTTCCAGACATAGTTAGCCCATTTCGGCCTTTCAAACAAGTGGGCACCGGCCTGCGGGTACTCTGTCACTAAAAAATACCCGTTTGTCTGTTCCGACGTATCACTGCGGACGTTCTAGCATGTGTTGATACGCTGCTGTTCCTCTTGGCTCATCGAAGGTTCCTAAGTAAATCCGGTGGTGATAGGTTCTGATAAGTACGAAATTTAAGGCTACATCATCCAAGCTTGGCTAGTAAGCTAAACAGACTGATTGCTAGAGAGTATAAAGATACTGACGTGGATATGAATGTCGCGTGTATCCACAACCGTTGTCCATAAGGAGACCGTTAAATGTGTTCTAACTATGGTGCCGATAATTCACTGGTTCACAATCAGTAATCCGTACACCCACAAACAATTTGCACACTAGGCGCAGAGAACAGTCCAAAAAATATGACGCGATGACACAAACGGAATCTCAAGAAAGTGGCCAGAATATCAACAGAATACAGCTAGCATGACCCACTAATCCTGTGCATTCCCGCAAACAACTGCCTTTGGCTTTCCTGACAGATAACTTTTCTGATAATTATGCCCACCTATATGTAAAACGCACACGTTGCCATATAGGTTTCGTCATGTGAACGAAGCCAAACTGTGTTACAAAACCAAAAAGCACTGTACAATTGTTTCATCCTTGTCCGGAGTCTGCAGTGTTCATCTCGTGAAACTCAGAGAGTTCGGAACCCGCAACCTTCTGGTCATTGGTTGAACATTTAACCTCGCTGGCGACGAGCTACTGACGAGCAGCGTGATTAGCCCTCACTAAGGCAGGACGTAGCCCCAACCATCCTTCAATCACAGAACCAACATCACATGGTCACATATTGAGTGACTCTTCAAGTGACGACTTCTCAGACGGAAGTTTCAGGTATCTTGAGAAGTTGTTCATCCTCTGATTTACTTATATACTGATGGTGGTGTGAAAAGATTTAGGACTTTTCAGGAGAGATTACATAGATAGTAACTGAATGATTTTTATATGGCCTCATCAATACAATTTGCGCGTAAATGATTTTAGGATCGTCAAATTACAGTGAAGTTATTCAATAAAGTAAGTAAAAGCAACTCTATAACAAATTGGGAATCGACTTATGGTTCTGAATCGTGTGCCACAGAAGGCCCACAGGTGGCGCCCCTGGAGAAAGAGAGTCGGTTGTTTATTCAAATTCCAACTACTTTGGCTGTTGTGAGTGCATTCTGTTGGCCGGCTTTCAGCGGATTACAACTTGGCCGGATTTAACTGGTGCATCACGTGGGTGGTGATTGCACGGATCAAAACGCTCGCTAGTTCACACGTATCGAGCACTCCTTGAGAATAGGCACCGTGTCGCACACTCAATGTAGGCCTTGAAACACCAGAAATCAAGGAAATAGATCAACCAAGAGGAGTAATGGACTGGCACCTAATCCTTCCGCTCATTCCTTAATTTTCGAAGTAGCCGGTCGAAACGTAACTAGTAGCGAGACCTTATCACTTACATAAGGAATCTGAACCTGTAGAAGTTTTTTGTTGAATGGCTTCCAGGTTTTAGATAACTGTTCGGCTGTCTGATGTGTCTCTGTGGGAAGGAGTTGGTACACTTAACGTACTACTCATAAAATTGTTGAAAACTATTCGAGATGGTAGATTTTTGTTAGATATAAGTGGTATGAACCTCAAGTGTCATAACCCTGTTGGCTTCATCCAGTGCTGTTTCGATTCTGATTGGTTAGAAAGGAGATAAAATGCATGCAACATTCTGCTTCGGTTACGCTGTTATCGGCAATTTCCTGCTAAGTTACGAGGGGGTGGGTGATCCAACGTTTGAAAACCTACAAGAGACATTACAAAATTAATGATTTCTTGTGGTTACTCTATGCTTCAATTTATTTGGTTTTATTGTAAATGCCACAAGTCGGCCAGTATTACTCTCCTTTCCGTAATTCATGCAATCACCACTTAGGCCTCCGCCAAATAGGTATAAACAAACTCAAGCTATTAATTTGAAAAAGTTTCAAGGTTTGAGAATCTTGAAGTAGTGCTGCGCATCTTGAATGGCGAAACGCGATTTGAAACAAGAGAACATTCCGGAAGTTACGCTGCACATAAAATCTGCTGAATCATGCCACGGACTTCAAAACGAGCACGACCGAATCAACCGAGTATCCTCAAGTGTCATTCTCGTTCTTATAATTTCAGCCCTTTGAAACGTGCGTTCCAACTAAGCTTCAACTGTTTTGTCCACCCACTTGTTCTCCAGATAGGTGAAACTACTTCCGAGTTCACGTTTCATCTGGTAACCGCGTAGGCCTATTCGGAAGGCTACTTCAGATGTTGCCCGAATACCTGATGACATAATCACAAATTATGGAATAAATATTATGACGACTGTTATGTCTGCTGATTCGTAAATCTGTGGTATCTGCTGCTGGCCCGCTCCAGTGCCTAGTTGCCGGAAAAAAGACTCACAGAAGGGAACACAACAGCTATATTCTGAACAAGCGAGTGCGAGAGAGTAAGTGCGTGCGAGAGCAAAAGTTTCAACGGCCCCATGCTATTTAAAGGGGACTTTCTGATATTGATCCAGGCTGTCTGATAGGCGTTAGTGAACACCCATCAACATCGATCGTTCCGCTATGAAATGAATGAACGCAGATCGCATTCGGTCATGCTTCTGTGGCGTGCATGAACACTCATCAGCTTTTGCTGAATTAATAGAATGATTGACTGGCCTGGATGCTTGCCGGCTTTCTTGTTGAGATTTTTGGTTGAGGAGTAGGTTTCGTTCTGAGGTTACATTCAGGAATATGACCTTCCTGATAACGACTGGTGAAGATCTGAGACCTTACTAGTCTCATAATTAGTTATCATTGAGGATCCGAGAAGCAACGAACCACATGTTTGGAACTTAGTGTATGTTCGGTAGCTAGTCTGATGAAGTGTCCCTCCCTCCGGTAAGTAAAATGCAGCAGCTATCTGGAACTGGCTGAATAATGTGTAGACCTACGGTCAGCATCCGGAAACTAACAAAGGTACTGGATTACTCTGCGCCCATATTTTGACTCTAAATGAGAACATAAAGTCCTAGGCGGCTGAAGTCTCATGACCTGCAACCTGGGCCTGACTACCTAATGTTTTTGATACTACTTCCTAAACAATATGCATCTGAAGCGGATTTTCAAAAGTGCCGGAGTGGCTTAGTTGTTCAGATATAAACTCTTGCCAGTAGAGTCCACCATTTCTATCTCATTGTGATAATAAAATGCAACACCACAGCTGGTTAGGTCATAGTTCATCAGTCTCAGCCAATCTCTCCAGAGAGGGAACGAACATCCTATTACTAAGAATAATTTCGCCGCAGAAAATCCCACCTTCGTAATTTGTGCATTGAGCAACAAATTCAGGTCAGCTTTGCGCATGTAAGTGTACGCACAGGCATCTTTCGTTCCACCTATTGACGCACAACACGACAAGGATCTATCAGTGTAACGGTGCATACTACTGATGAAGAAATCAAGTAACCTACTGTCTGATGTCCCGGCTCTTCCCGTATCTAACGGAAGATGTAGGTTATTACGGAAATCAAGGAGTCAGGTTGCATTGTTTGGTTATAATTGTTTAATAGTCAAAGAACGTCCAAGAAAGTTCAAGGGGACGCTTGGTAATGTTCGCTTTTAAAAAACGATGTGCCAGTGAGATGTTTGTTTTAATATCTTATTGATTCTAACCACTTGGTTCATGTTTGCTAATAAGTAACTTCGCACCAAAGGGTTTTCCTCCCCTCAAACGTATGCATGTATGAGCGTGTCCACCCACTTTAAAGCCCACTGACATTGATTCTGACAAAGTCATAAGTGCCGCACGTGATAATGGGGATGTCGCGGTTGATATGGATGTCGTCTGTGAGGTGCAAGATAGCTGTATTCGAAATTTGGATATCACAAAAACATCACCTGAACTCTGGCAAGATTATCTGTCCCACCTTGAAATAATCAGCATGAAGCCCGTATCAGCAGGTTAAACCTGCTGGCTGGATGACCTTGGCCTTCGATGACTTTCAATTCTTCACTGTGAAATATTCCAATGAATAATGGGCGGAGATTTGAACCGAATTTGGGCACTTACTCAGAGACAATGTTGCTTCCCAATGTGTTGCTGTTGATGAACGCTGTGTATCACCGGTCTCAAAGGGTTAGATGCAGCAAATTTCCTTCCATCGATATTCGAATAGCCGCACATGGTCTGTCTGATTGTCCCTGATCGATTTAATCTATCATTTTGCCGAAAAAGTGACTTTTAAGCTCCGTTTATCATAACGAAACAGTTAGTATGTTGAGCTTTCTTTTCCTCTTCTACCCAGGAGAGTTGAGCCAAGTGTCGTCAGTTTTGGGGACTGAAAGGGTCTTACTTAACTCACTGATGACATCTTAAACGAAACCATTGTAAGCGTCCTATAAGAGTCAACACAACATACAGGTGATTCCTGACCTAGACCAGTTGCCGTGATTACAAAAGCCCAAGGGGTTTAGCCCGAGATCTACCTCGTTCTAGGGTGGTCAACCCCCGATGAGACCACTTATGATCGTTCTGATTTTAGGTTGTAGGGTACCATTTTTCACGTTGTTTGTTTGATCCTACTGACGCGGCCACAGTACAACACTGACCATTTTGTAAGCTGTATTTGGCTGAGTTACAAATTCACCTTGAAGAGGTTCCGTTTCAGGTTGCCAAACCGGGATATTTCGGTTTGTGGCGGAATCGAACGTTCATGGGATGGTCCCAAGGAACATTCAGTGCTTGTGATAATTTGAGCGGAACAGTTTGGGGTTTCTTCTCATCCCAGTACCGTGTGTTTTTGTGGATCTGTATGTGCGCTTCCAACGCAGTGCGATCTCCAATATTCGCATATTCAATCATCCGACATTGAAACAGGCCAACCGGAATGTCAAGTCGCAGCTGTAACTAAAGTTCAAGGAGACCAAATACATGGGTGGTATCAGTATTATATTAATATGTATAAATCATAGGGAAGACTCAACAATTGAGAAAGTTACATTTCATTATACACACAGGAGTATGTGGAAGGGAATTCATGACACGCTTTTGAATTACTGCAAGTGTGACTAGTAGTACATCCACACTCTTGCTTCACACAGCAAGTTATGACATTCACCCAGAACAACAAAACAACAAAAATGTGGCAGAAGTAGCGTCCGAATTCAATCAAGCCGCCCAAGTAACCACCGACACGAGAAGGATTTTGGCTAATGTGCACTCACAAAGTGCCACAATGCTTCTGCCTTCCCAATGTTTCTTGCCTTCCTTGAGTTGAGTGGGTGCTTTGGTGTGTGTGTGTGTGTGTGTGAAAGGGGAAAATGTTGTCCACTATCGGATGGTTTGTGCTTGTTATTCGGCACACAGGAATGACATACAGACCAAATGAACCAGGACATCTTGATGAAGATTCGTTAAACTGTTACATGCACTGTCTTCAGTTGGCTTGGTTATTCTATTTCACTGGAGAGAGGCAGATACAAGAGCGGACCGTATGAATTACATGGGGCATACAGGTCAATGGGAAAATTTGGAAGAGAACCTTCACCACTAAAGTACCCGCTGTCTGGCCATATCATCAATATTTACAGATCTTGATATGTAGTAGTGCTTCTTCTCCAAAAATCATTTAGTAAGTAAAACCGCCAAGACACCTGCATTTCTCAGCCGCACTATGTTATCAGAGTCGTCATCCAATGCTCGTCCGCTCGTCAAATGGTTTCTGTGATGGGCGGAACAATTTCAATGCCCATATTACTATTAAATGTAATAAACCCGTTCACAGCTACATAAAGGGCTTCGATGCGCTTCACTCCCATCTGTTCAATTCTATCCTCAGTCCTGATGAAACTAATCTGTGAAGCCCACAACAAATGGAGTAAGCATTTGACTCGAGTTTTGCTTCTCAGTATGGACTCCTCAGACGAATTGCTTCAGGCCAGAAGGAGGGCTGGTCAAATGAGAGTGATGTAGATATGAGCTCTATTCTACACATCTCGCTGCCAATTAGATTCGTGGTGAAATAAGTTTACTTGTTACTAGAGTGCGACAACAGCCTTGACTGATTTCTTTGGTATGAACCTGGTCACACTTGAATGCCCACGTCAGTTGCACAGCTTTAGTGTAACAGAACAGAGTATCTAGGAAACTGATACATTAAATCCGATCCCGATTCAAAATTGCCACAAAAATCAATAAGTTCAGAATACAAAGAATGCAAAGAAAGTATAGGTAACAAACCGCAGAACAAACCTCAGTGCACGTACTTTTGAGACTACTACGTTTTCCGAGCTCTCAAGGCTAACCAAATTATTCCTGTAGGCGATATCTTCCTGGTGGATTCCCCAGGCTTGTATAGCAAACATCTGCACCACGACAACTGGAAAAACGCAGTAGCAGGCTATAAGTATTCACGTTGAGGCTAGCAGTAAGGATAGAACTTAGGGGAAACGCAAACTGGAGAACTGTATAGAAAGGCTCAAAAAGGTAGTAAAACTGAAGAACAATGCTGAATTCAGGTGTATTAGGACAACGTTTTTTTGGTGCAGAGGTTCACTTAACCTGCTTGTTCGTTGCAATCATCTCGAAATTGAAACCACGCGGCCTAATGATGAGAAGTTTCGGGAACAACTTGCGTCTCCTTCACAAGGGTGAAACAATGGGTTACGTTTTTGCTTTCAAGAAGTGGAGCACTTGCTCTGCCCAGTTCTCCTTGAGGAATATCTATTTTTGGACAAACTAACATAAAATCCTTAAGATAATTTTTCTAGCGAACCAAACCGGACACCTGGTCAAAGTGGTAGCACGAAAGTTCATTGTTTCAGTTTTATCGGCTAACCATCACACCAAGCCGTGACAAGATAAAATTTTCATCTGCAAAGTTGTCTGTATTCTAACTGGCATATACTTTAGGGAATACAATTTAGGAATCATGTTATTCTTAGAAATATAATTGTATCTACTGCGTCCGACTGTTTCTGTCTACGTGACATTTAAGATCTTGCTTGGTTTTCATTTTCACAAATTTGGCGGTGGGTTTTGTTTTCCAAATCTGTTAATACTGCTTAAAAACAACGATTTCAACTTCGTTATGTGAACCCATTCAGTCAGTTCAAACTGTTTTCCTTTCTTGAGGATGCCTCAGGACCCCTTTGCACGATAAGGTTGGTCATAACTAATGCATTGGTTTTCTGCCCATTAGCTGAAATGAACGAGAAACACTTAATCACCTCCAGTTTCCTCCTGTTTCAGCAAGCGTGCCACTTAAATGTCCTCCCACCAAAGTGGATGGAAAATCGATAACTCAGCTTGCTCTATAACATCCCCAGTTTGGTTGGCCAAGCATATCGATAGTCTCAAACATTCTGGTGATGAAATACTGAACAGTCAACAACTTAAATCGGTTAAGCAAGAAGCTAAGAACGCTTTTTACTTTTTGTTCCATTGCCAAATACTTTGAGTGAAAAAGACTTATCATAATAGACACATGACACAGAGTTGGAGACCCAAAACATTAAGGAAATCACTTACTAAAATTCTCTTCATCATCAGGATCACTATAGAATGCTGCAAAACACGATGTATGGAAATGCTAGTCACAGTATGTTTATGAGTTAAATCACTACACAGTTTTGGTAGGAAAGCTATATTTTCACGAATTTTAAGCAGGATATGAATGAGCGTGAAGTGAATGAATAATACTATCTGTAATGATCATTTGAAAATGAAGTGCCCAATTTACCTTATCTGAGCCGGATACGGCCAGTTTGTTTGAAAATACAACCATACTCAGGCCCTTTTCCGTCCTTCCCCCTTGCAAACTTCCTCATGGTGCCTACTCATCTTTATTATTCAACATGTACTCATGATTCTTTTGTCCGAGGACTTCTATGTCACGGTCATTTGACTGCCTCTGAAGTGCAGGTGGTATCTCTGTACCAGTGAAATTTTCACGTGAGCTTGCCTAACTAACCACCGTCTGATTCTACGTGATTCATTAAAAATAATCAGACCATGAAGAAAACCAATCATTAAGTTGCTGAAAGCCGTTCGGCAGTTCATGGAGGCTTTGTCCTTGCTGGAGCTCCCCAGGTATGCGCACTCCCAAGCTTTTGTCAACATCCTGTTTTACTTGAACCAAAATTGCACGAATTATGTCCTATGCACTCATTTGCTTATCACTTTGGTTTTCAAAAGAGACCAAACTGAATAGCCTCTGAATCTTTCGTTTCTAAAATTCGGTGGCTGTGCCTACCTGGCGAGCCGCAAGAAAAACGAAACCATTTGTCAGCTTTCGAAGTTTCCAACGACGTTATCAGTAGCGAACTGCGATGTTTCGAATGTCATACCACCTGAAACCTAAGGAGGCTACTGAAAAGAATATTCAGTTAAAGCACATCACAAACGAGAGATTTAGATGCAGTTCAAGTGGGTCGCTCGTGAGAACCAAACAGGTATGCAAATGAATGTACCTGTCGAGCTAGCGAGACCACCGTGATAGGTTTCCCGCCACAAATGATGTTTTGCTGTTGAGAAAACTGCGTACAACAGCATTTGTCGATAGTTCGACGAGCTCTGCACATTTTTAATGCAGATTTCCTCCTGTACGCGTGGCCAGTGTGCGCTGAAAGACTGAGGGTTTCTGTACAGTTGTTTCTGCTTCAAACTTATTGCTAAACATCAGCAGTGCTCATCCCACGAATCTCCAGTCAGAAATTTCGACCGTCACTGACCACCTAGCCATTCGGCTTCGAGTGATTCAACAGCTGTGTGATCAGCCATCACATAGGCACGGCATAGCTCCGCTCGTGCTTTAGTCACGTGATCCACATTACATGGCCACCGGTTGACTGGCTCTTCGAGTGACGATTTATCAGTCGGAATTTTCACTACTCGTAGATTATTAGTAGCGTGCTGCGAGGTGATCAGCATGTGACAGGGAATTTGGTCAAAATACTCTTGAAAATTGGTTTATGGATTATGCGCAGCTTACTATAGACTATTAGCAACCACAGAATTTTGTATAAACTAATAGTTTACTATTGCCGGTGGTCTGAATAGATTTGGTTTTTTGTAGAGATTTCGTCCTGTAATCGAAGCAAATTTATCCACGGTAGTTTGCTAATTAAGTAAAATTGTGTTAATCGGATAATTGTTTTGGGCTAGACTAGAATTTCAAAGCAACCTAGACACATTTTAACACATGAATAACATGAATGTTAATTAATCTGGTGTAGTATGCAGAGTTTTTACTCAAAAACTAACTTACCATACGAGGGAACATCTCGGAATGTGAAAACAGAGAACGATGCCCATTCACATTTGTTTTTCAGGAGCTCAAAAAAGGTCAGATCCGAATACGCACTTTTTCCTAGATGTGGTGTCAGCGTTGACCGAAGTACCTGGACTCGAACTGTTGCGTAGATCCCCATTCCACCCCGTGACAAAACGTGTCCCATGGGATAGCAGCAGTACTTCAAGGGCCCCAAAAGTTGGAAGATACTTTCAAGCTGATAAATCAGGTGATGGAGAGAGGAACATAGGGTTACATTTTGTGGTCCCACTTAGGAGAACAAAGTAGACAAAATCATTGTAAACTGCAGCGTTTTTTCTAAAAGAGACCCTAGAAAATCGATAGTTATAGCGGATTTGATGTCCTGTTGACTAGCTCCCATCAGGGCTAACTGGTCATGGCTACTTAGGTTGAATATTGTGAGGTGTAAATCAGTAGTTCAGTATTCCACGAAAATATTTCTGGGCTGTATCATCTATTGATTACTCCGCAGCATCGTTTGACGAAACAGTGTCGCGAGAAATCATTAAGGCCAGGATGAGTCCCGATTGCTATTGTTCATTAGCATCTTCTAGGAATTAGCTGGTTTTTAGGTGCCGGCGCATGCAACAAGCGGCAAAGTAATTAATATCCTACATTCAGTGTCCAGCGCATCTCATCAGAATACATGGAAGGTCTATTGGTTGCCGGCTGTCGGGAAATAGGCCAATTTTTCGGGCCAATGCATCACATAGTTAAGAACTCTGTAACTTGGGGATGAAAAACGAATACATCAGCAACCGTTTCTCGAATTTAACTTACTCTTACTAAACTAACATCGACAAGTCGAAAACGACAGAATGCGTGTTTAAAAAACGTGGCCAAATAGTGCGTTTGACCAGTTCAAGAACTATGTTGATGCCGGTAGCCGGTCTGTGGGCGACGATTACCCGATCTAGTTTTCTGTTAGTAGCGCACATGTGGTGGATCGTGTATACCGAATTTGTTAGAGTCCGTCAATCTAATGAGAAAAAAGCACGACTTTTGCCATTAAGTGAACGCAACTGCCTGTGATGAAGAAAGTAAGCGGGATTTGGCTCGGATTAGTATTCATTTGTATCACATGTCACCCGACATTCTCAGTAAAAAATCTTGTTAGTTGCGGGATTCGTAGAACTCACGTTCACGTCACAATCGTTTGGACAGTCATTTCCTTATCCTGACCCAGTTATTCTAGTGAGTCAACACCAAAGAAAGGAAGTACTGGACTCGAGTTTTACTATTCTTACAGATTAGTTCAGCGCCGGTCATCTGACATTCGAGGCGAGCATGTTGCCACCACTCCACCGCCATACCCACGAAATACCAGGATTTTCAGGTCTACATAGGTAAACGTGTCGATGTTTGAGTGATTTGATTGGTTTGCCTGACTCTTCGAACAGTCACTTGTCAGCATATTAGCGCTAGGACATGAGGAGCACTTTCAAACATGAGTGATGTGAACGGGAAGTCCACAAAAACTACAACCTCTTACAACTAAGTAAAATTTACCAGAAGGTTTCAAGCGTCCATGGTATTACTTGACTGGGAATTCCTGAGAGCTGCATGAATTGACCGACACAACCGGAAGAAAGATACTGGGTCGTCGTCCGATAAGGCATGCTCAAGGATGAACAATTTTGCCGTTTAAAAAGTGTAAATTCAGGTGCACTGAGTGTGCGTTTGTAAAAAAGTGGTAGCACGCTCAACTCGTATGTCAGGCAATCGGTGCTGCCGAGGATATACACTGCTGGTGAGTTCCAATACCAGAAAACTCGAGCCCAGTGGTCTCATAAGAATAACAGCGTCCATAAATACAGTCTGCCTTGTTTTAGTAGTGCGCCCAAAGTACAAATCCCCGAAGCCCATAGGGCGTGCCACGTTTCTTTTTACTTTCAGAATCACCGAAATGAAGGATTTTCTGTGCTGACTTCCCGTAGTAGGCTAGAATTTTGCATTATTTGTAGTTTTCTGTGGATCTGACAGGTTACAAGTCTAAAATGGCGGGGGTGCGTATCTGCTCTAAACAAGACAACTGTTCTGGCCCTCCAGTATGCAAAACATGAACATTTCAATAGGTGAGTCGGTAAATTTGTCTGTAAAACAAACATGTGCTTACCAGCCTACATTCAATCGATCTGTCACTTGCCGAGTCAAGGTGACTTTCGAAATTCTGAACGAACATACCTAGTTCTGTTTCTGAAAAGACAGATGTTCAAAGAATTTAACTCAAAAAGAACAGGTGACAAAGTCCAACTGTTCTGGCCCTCCAGTATGCAAAACATGAACATTTCAATAGGTGAGTCGGTAAATTTGTCTGTAAAACAAACATGTGCTTACCAGCCTACATTCAATCGATCTGTCACTTGCCGAGTCAAGGTGACTTTCGAAATTCTGAACGAACATACCTAGTTCTGTTTCTGAAAAGACAGATGTTCAAAGAATTTAACTCAAAAAGAACAGGTGACAAAGTCACCCACCTCAGAAAACCGAAAGGTGGGAGTGCCTAAATACCATCGAAGTTTTGCAGCCTTTGAATTCACCGTTCAGGTATGATAACCAAAGAAGTTGAACGAAGAGTTCACCGTGTAAAATGAGAACAAAATTGAGTTGAAGTGGCCATATAAGGACATCTGAAGACAACTCGCAATTTGAAACTGTCAAAGAAGTTCGATTGAGAATCATCATTATCACTTGTAATCGTTCGACTGATAGTAATTGGGTTTCAGGGTTTACTTTCAGATCAACCTGAGCTGATTTGCTGCCGTGAGATCACTGATAACAGTGAATCCTACGCTACCTGCCCCATGATAAGTATTCCTGAGTCAGTTAGCTGGGTTCTCATAAAGCTCTGATAACCATTTACGCAGAACATGGGTATTTGTTAGGGTCACCTGACTGCGAAGTACCGGGCCTACTAGGTCAAACAGACGTTTCTTGAGGATGAAGATTCACATGTAGAATTCACAAGTAGAATTTAAAAGCCATTCTGACAGAATATTGGGTCTCTGCTTTGCAATTTTGCGTTATCAAACCTCCGTTTATTGGAGGGTAACAAAAACATTCATGCACTAAATAGGCACAACAAAGTATGCACTATTAGGAATCCCCTATATTTTTTATACCCAGTTGACAGACGGCAACACTTCCTATTACTGGAAGGATTAAACATGAATCGATGCAGTTCTAAGCACGTGACTATGAAGAATCAGGGGAAATTTCCGGCTACGTGCCGGCATTCCGATGAGTGGCGTGGGTAAAGCAAGCATCCCATACAAAATCAATTTTCCTTGCCTCCGAAACCTGGTTAGCTCACGCCCGTCACAGAGAGGAGCAGCAAGCTGAAACGTCCAGCAAAATCAAGATTTCGAATGCGGATGAAAATGCCTGGGTGATTAAGCTTTCAAAATGAAAAAAACTTCATCAACTTCGAATCCCAAACGCGCACAAATACGTTCACTCAATTGATGTAGTTGACGGTTGCTCATAGCTGATTGAAAGCTGGGAGCTTTCGTTCAAAACGTTATGGATTTCATTTTCCAGCAAGATTCAAACGCTACATCCTAAGGACGCTAGTTTTAGGAACTTATTCGCTGTCACTGTGTCAACGAAAAAGCTTTTGCACGTGATACCCTATGTGGATACTTGGTTAAAAATAAAAAATGCTCGATATTCTTAAAAGCTTTGCGAATTCTTATCAGAAATCGATAAAATAGCGATGGAGGACTCTATAGATGTTTAGTCTTCCATTAATGCGGACTGAACCCACGACAAAAATGCATGTAAATCTGAAGATGTAAGTTGTCCAAAGGCTTCTTGTGCTTGAATACAACCAACATCTGAATTTTCTGGTGCGATTAAGAAGGCTAGTTCTATTGAAAATTAGATTTAAAAGTTGCTCATATACACCCAGTACACTTACTCACGTATTCGTCGGTAGCTGCAAACATAGGAAAGTGTAGCAGCATCCTCATACTAATCTTATTGTCGAGAACATTTGTGTTTTTGAAAGTGAATCTTTTGGCCAGTCAGTCTGGAAGTTCCTGATTCGAAATATTCAGTGCAATACGCTAAGTGATATGTTACGCGCATTATGGTTTGCTTGGAAAAGGGTAAATTCGTAGTCCAGTCATCTTTCAAGAGGAATGCCTCCGGTTGTCTCAAGTCTCACAATTATTCGTTTCACAGAGGATCAAGTTGGTCTCACAGTAAGGATGATGCACTTTCAGTTTTATCATTACCCATATATACATATCCATATACATTCCTAATCGGTTTCTCTGGAGTGCTTACTCGGAACTAAGCTGAATCTCTTATTTATTGGTTCTTCTTTAGAAACCTTAGAGAAATTAACGACCATACAATGTATTGCGAAATCTCAAAAATCTTACCCACTTAATCATGAAGCCCTCGTGAAACGAATCATTATAAACGATAGATTTGGAAGAATTCATTTGCGTCTCCCAACAAAACCAAATTGATATGCAAATGAGTGTGATTGTGGAATTCTGTCCAGTTTGGGTTCAAAAGCAAGTAAGGTTGACGGGAACTCGGGTTTTGTGCCTGCCTGATGAGCCTGAGTAGAAAGTGTGAAAGCGGTCGTGGGCTGCCAGAGGAGTTTCAGCAACCAAATGAGTAGTGCGTTATGTCTAATTTTGGGTCTGAATTCTAATTTGCCATAGGTTTGAAAATTTGTCCTCCAACGATATTACCATTAGGTATCTTATAAAAATGCTCAAGTTCAGTTAACAGTCCTTAATCGAAAGATTTTTCTTCGGACACTTCAACAGTTACCCTTTGTATCTTAACTTTTGTGTAACAGTTTCGCCAGCGCTGGTTGCGATTATTGCGTGCTACTTCTTTAACCACTCCAAGGAGCAAGTGAACTTCCAGCAGTACACTTCAAGGACTTAGAAGGCAATCAATATGTGCTGATGGGTTTGAAACAGACGATTTAAGAAAAATTTGTTCTTTTTTCTGTCTTGTTGAGGCAGCGAGACCATACTGGCATAAACGGGCCAGGAATATTTCATCAAGTCAACGTACAAATGGTCTTCTGGATCCGTCTTGAGCCTACACACGACGAATTATTGAATGATTTTAGAATGACTACCAACCAAGTGGGTGTGTGATTAAAGGTGGACTGTAGAGAGGTACCAGTGAAGGAATTGAATATGATTTTATGCGCAACCGCTACCTCAGTTCGATAGGTTAAAACCTGTCTTCCAAAACAGATTCAAATTGTTTTCTTCAGGATGACACTGTAATGGACACGAGACCAGCTTGTAACTGCTGAAAAACAAATTAACCGAATATATAAAATGTAGCAAGGAATTCTCTCAGTCAGCTAAACGTCGAACTAAGGTCGCACCTGCTTCAGGAAACACTCGCATATCTGGTTCATGTAGTCTGATCCTCATCATTTGACGCCTGGGGACGCTTGATGCCTACGGTTTACAGCCACACATTTGTGGACCAAACAACAATCCTTCAAGCGATACTGAACTGCGATCGGTTAACAGTGGAGTTCATACATGAGTTATGGTCAAATTGATCGGAATGAAGCTGGTGCGTGCGTGCGTATGAGTGTTGGTAATGTGGAGAGATTTCGGAATTTCAACGAAGATTACATCCTGTCAGTGGAGCTAATCTATACTGAAAAGCCGAGAAACAGACTTATCGAGAATCGCCAACAGTACACATCTCATGGAATTCCAGTAAGAACTTGCTGCCTAGAAGTCTGAACGCCTAGTCTTTCGGTCACTAATATGAAGCAGGATGGCTTCTACTTTGTTAGTTACATCTTGAGGTAAATTTCGTTCCTAAGCGGTTCTCCCATAGTTTTATCACTGCACATATTTTTCTGCGTTAGTCATACTCATTGCACTGGGTTCCAGTTCGGTCTTAAGGTACACGTTTCACTGTGTTCTATTCTCATGCTTCGCTTACGCGTTCATTTGACAGTTTGCTTGATACCTTGGTGGGAGGCAAAATTAATGTGAAAATGACTTGATCTGACGTGACATATAAATTATTGAAAAGCCGACACAACTGGCAAAATAATGATAGTACTCACAAAGGTCTCCATACATTGGCAACTGGAAATTTCTATGTGTGCCGTCTTGCACTCCCAAAGCATCTACCGCGGCTTGCAATCCCATCTTCCATTGCTCTGGGAAACCTGAGTCAGGTGAGTCAAACGTCGTCTGAAAGTGACTCATGGACGACACTATAAGCTGGTCTTCGCTGTCCAGGATACGTTGAGGGAGAACATTCACAACCCGTGTTTTTTCGGACACTACGCATTTCAGCTGAATTATTTCATTAAGAAAAAATATGTTGACTGGGTAAAGCGGAACAGGTGAAGTACTTGGTAAACAATAAACAAAAAACTACTAAAAACATGATATGCAACTTCACTGGCTTTCTGGTTTAGCTAAGTGCATCAGGTTATCAACATACTATCCAGACTCGGGTTCACGGTATTCAGAAAGCATTGGGAAGACTGTGCTCCACAATGAGATAGCAACAGAAACAATGTCACTTTTACATGAACAACTTATTTTGGTTTTGCAACAGCAGCAGGCAAAATTCGAAGAGTCTTAGTTGAGGTTAGTCGAAGTAATCCTTCACAAATTGGAAATTCGAACTGAAACGAAGAAATCCTCTTTGTGAACAGTGTGGTTGAGTTTCACTACGATACTGAATCCGATTCTACTTTCGAATCATGGTTACGATGATACGAAGACATTTTTTGGATGGAATACGCGGAGTTGGATGATGGTTGAAATCGCGACTGTTACTCCGAAAGCTCAAGATAAGCAAGCATGACTAATTTATTAATTTTATTTCCCTCAAATCCCCCGAAGGTGTTTTCCTTTGATGAACTTGCACAACTGTTGAAAGATATTTTTTATGAACCGTCTTCTTCACTGAACTTTTGCTGCAACTGTTTGAATCCGGTTAGATCGGGCATTGATGACTATCTTACATATGCAAGCGTATTGAACCGTCAGTGTGAAAGATTCAAACTCAGAAAAAGGACAGAAGATCAATTTAAATGTCTCAGCTTTATCTGTGGCCTACAGTCACCACGAGATGTCGACATCCGAGCTCGATTGTTAAGCAAGTTTGAACAGAATCCATCAGTCAACGTTTAAACGGTTATAATGGCGTGCTAAAGTTTACTAAATCTCAAGCACGATACAGCAATTATAGATCGTACTAATCTATCTCAATTTGACCATGTGCATGCCGTTTCGAAGATTATTCAGAGGCCAGGTGCGAAGAAGCAATCGGTGGCGTTCAGTAAGCCACCTACGTCTTACTGGAAGTGCAATAAATGGCACTTCGCCCGTTTCTGCCCCTTCAAGAAGCACCAGTGTCAGAAGTGCCACAAAAAAGGATACAAAGAAGAGTGCTGCCGCACAACCTTCTCTCAACAAGGCAACTGGAAGTGCAATGGCACTTCGCCCGTTTCTGCCCCTTCAAGAAGCACCAGTGTCAGAAGTGCCACAAAAAAGGATACAAAGAAGAGTGCTTGCTGCACAACCTTCTCTCAACAAGGCAACAAACCATTCAAGCAAACAATGCGTCCTTCAAAGCCACACACCAAACCAGTACTAGTCAGTTTCAACCCGGATTGGAAACGTCAGAGAAAATTCGTCAGTTGTCTTAAGTGACACACAGGTACGTCTGCAACTCGATACCGCTTCCGATATCACAGTCATTCCCAAAGATATCTGGAAAATAATGGGTAGACCTCTTTTCAACTTCACAACTCGTGTTGCTCTAAACGCTTCTGGTGGAAAATTACAATTGACCGGTGAGCTTCCTTGTTCTGTGCTGTGCAACAATATTCGTTTCACTGGAATGTTACTTGCCCTTGGTAGATGAATCCTATTTTTAGCACCATTTTTGACCCGTCTAGAACATTCCACGTGAGCTTTATGAACAACGACCCGTTTTCGGCTGCACATGACACGTCTGTACACGTCAGTGTTCAATAGATTAGTTGGTTAGCACGTTCATTGGCTTTTTGGTTTGGTTAAGCGCATCAGGCTATCAAGCGGCTCTCTGGACTCGGGTTCACGGTATTAAGAAGGCATTAAGAAAACTGTGGTCTACAACAGAAAACAACCTCACTTTTGTACTGGCCGAGAAGAGGTACCTTGATTTGCGGAGACTCCTGGATCTCTTTAAAGTGACTTCATATTGTGATGTCACCTATAAAATGTCTTTCAGCGGTACATAACTCACAGAGGCCAACCGATAAATTGAACAGTTTTGCCGTTGCACGTAAGTGCTAATCTGGGTAATCTGGGGGTAATCTGCGAAACGTCAGTATGTGTAAACCGGCATAACAGTGTCGGAATTTTACACGCATATCCGGTGTCCCACGGTGGGCTACGGAGGCCTTAGTTGTGCAGATCATTCTTTTAAAGGCAAACTACGTACGACCTTCATCGCTTGCCAATTTCATTACCGTGTTGGAAAGACCAACGTTCACTTCTAGAAGTATTCATGTATGTGCATTAACTTGGTTGATACTGTGGGGTACATACTGATAACGAAACGGAAGACAATGGTCTCAAGCAGCCCAATAGACCATATTCCATCTTCGCTAGATGAATGGATTATGCCGACAACGAAACAACGCCGCATCAGATCAAACTCCAACGCATGACTAAATCACCGTTTTCAGAAAATTATGAAACACGAATAGTTAGTGTATTGCCTAGTAGTGTTCCGCTCTTGACATAAAAACTTCATCAGTCAAATTAACTTGGGGCTGCATGCAAGAAATTATGTTCACTAATCTACCTAGGGCAAAGAACTACATACCGAAAATCTTGAGCCCAAAGGAAATTAGTGGGACCACACAGAAAAGCAGACGAATATCGGGCACTGAACAAGGACTCAACGATTGCAGGACGTGAGCTAGACACGGGACAAATAGCAGACTTGGGAAAATTTAGATATCTTGTGGCGGGATTACGATTTATACCAAAAGGATTGATGATCAAGGTAAAAGAAATGGATAAACAGTCCACTGTGGGCAAAATAGGAGCCACAGAGCAGCTGATGGCATAGACAGTGGTTGTGCGCACTCCGAGTCAAGCGACGATGAGTGGATTTGTCAGTCACAGAAAAAAATGACAAGCTTACTTCTAGATTGGAAAGTTCAATCCGACCAAATATCATGATTTTCCTCCTCTCAAGACAACTGTCGCGGGAACGACACCTCCGGGCAGACGCATTTTGTAGGTAGTAACTCAAGTGGGATTGTGGTTTGGGGTGAATTGAAGAAACCTGACGCAAATGCAATTCACGCCAGTGTACCTCAGGTCATCGGTCACAACACGTACTCATCCATATGAACTAGCCGATATCTAAAACTGCTCTCGTCTTGTAAATCGGTCAATCAGACAAACGAAGATTTTCTGTCAACTATCCACTAATTAACCCATCGATCATTATTTAGTCGCTTCTGAAACAGCGACTCCTTGATCGATTCCATAGGTTTTCCATTTGATTAGGTAGAGGATTCTTAAAATGGGAGAAGCGATTGCTATTATTTGTTACAGTTCGTGTCTCTAGGTATTCGGACGTTTTTGGTCCCACACACGTGGACATGCTTCACAGCTGCTCACTCTTCTTTTCTGTCTTGGTCACCAAAGGTACTTGCTGCTACGTGGTTAGAATGCGTTTCTGCCTGCGTAAATTTATTCGTTATCAAACTGACTTGTCGTTCAAGGTCAAAAGCTGGTTCATCCAGGTTTCAGGATAACTAACCAAGTATCTGGTTTCATTAATAGCCAGCGAATGCTTACTTTCATTTGGACAAGCTATCTATGAGCCGTAACTGGATCAAAGTGCAGTCGATGGTGGCAATGATCAGGCTGAATAGTGTAAAAAAATTTTGGTGACCTGCATGAGGATCAAGAAAACAGACTATCATATCCTTGAGTTCTAAAGTACATCATGTGCACGAACGTTGAGGTGTTGAGGCACACTGTACCACGAAAAGTGATGTTTCGTTGCTGATATTTTGAAGAGTTATGAGGACAAACTAGAGAGCACATTTTCTTGTCAAATTGGTTTTTCGTTTTCTGATGCGCTCCGTCCTTGTTGGGTCCATTCTGGCGGGCTGTTCTCTATCTTGGAGTTTCCCTGGGCCATGACAACACCCTACGCAGACAGTAAGTAAAATTATGACGTTGCTTTCCCATAAGAGCACCCTACACAATGAGCACGCTAGAAGAGACGTTGCTATATATCCTTTGTGTACCTAGCTAATGACACTGCGAGCACCATGTTCAACGAGGTACTCCGTTGATTGTACAATTCACATCACGTGGTCACGTGTTGGCCGGTTTCGCGGGTGACAACTTCTCAGATGGGATTTTCAATCGCTGGACAAGTACTTTCCCCCGGGGATTATCGCAGATTATGAGAAGTTCGGTAGATTATGGATACCAACAGTTTATAAGTAGCTCAGAAGATGAATAAAATTCACCCAATGAGTGAAACTTCCGTCTGAGCCAGCTAACACGTGTGACCACGTGATGTAGATCCCGTGATTGAAGAATGAGCGGCGCTACATCCTGTTTAAGTGCGAGTTGATCACACTGCTGATCAGCCGCCCGTGGCCGAACGGTTAAGTGTTCAAACTACTAGCCAGGAGGTCATGGGTTCGAGACTCCGGAGTTTCGTGAGATGCGCACTGCTGATGAATTCCGATTAGAGTGAAACAGTTGTACAGAGCTTCTCGGCTTTTCAGCATAGGTTGGCTCCACTTACAGGACGAAATTTCCACAAAAATATCAAATCTCCTCACACTAATTACATTACTATTTCGATGTGAAATGAACCGCCTGCTTTTGAGACGAAAAAGTAAGTATTACAGCGCTGACATCACTGGTCTCAGGGTTAACGGAGTAGGCGTGCAGAAAACACTACATTCTAGAGTGCATAAAGCTACGCCACAATCGAAACGAATCTTAGGTTAGGGACGGTGCAGTGTGTTTCTATGAGTGACAAGCAGAGACGAAATACTTGCATCCAGATTCGGAGATTTCAAGGTCACACTTTTGTGTTACCGCTTAAGTTCGTCAGTGAGATACTACTTGATACCAACTAATCAATGGCGCACTTGAGACAGTTGGTGAATACCGTAAATTTCCTTAATATTGGTATACAGAGACACGGAACCTTAGAGATACATATCTCCATCAGCTTAGTCTGCTCAAGACAAACCCAAATTTCTCAAGATACTCTCACTTGCACTCAAAATGGATTTCCACGGGTGAATGCTGTGAATACCAGCCTAATATCTCGTTTGTGTTGTTCTTCAACTGAGTTTTCTGCACCAGGCAGCCTCGTGACTCAGATGCTACGACATTCGAGATATCGCCACCTTATGAGTAGTGTATTACGTATATACAGTGTACTGCGATACTGGAATATGGTTACAGTTAAACCATGAGGCGTCCCAGTCAAGTGCATTCATTTGAAGAACGAGTGACTCATATGGGAATCAGGTTAGTCTCCCGTATAAATTGAAGTACCGTATGAAGTGAAGTACCGAACTACTTAACCCATTTATACAATAGTTTTAACGCTCATTATTTTTCCAGTAAAGTGTCTACTTCAAATTCTATATTTGTAACTAGCCAAAAAGACCTAAATAATCGTGGCAGGGTTTAAAGGCTACTGGATGAGGGCAACGGGGGCATAATATATAAAAAGCCTTAATGCTAGGGATCTTAAGAAGCAAACTTTGAGTCACGTGCGTAATCATGGTGCTCACATTTCATCGGGTCAGCACGAAATCGTAGCTGGTTAAGGCTTTCACAGATACGACCTCAACCAAGAGGCAGCTATCCTCGCTCTTTATAAACCCGGCCAAAATGTGCCCGACAGACGCTCGGTTTGGATTTGCACGATTTGGCTCTAGCTGATGATATGTGGTTTGACTGCGAGAAGACTGGATGAGCTTGAAGCAATTATACCAATGTACTACTTCTCAGGTTGAATTAAAAAAAAACTGCTATTTGATGCGGAGGAATCACAGCAGAATTTCGGTAGAGAAAGTTTGAAACTCCCATTAGTGTGGGTACCACTGGCTGATGGACACTGAGCCTCTTTAGACCCTACATACTTCCGTCTGTCCAAGTGCCACACAACAGCCCAGCTAATATGACGTGAGGGCAAAATGAATTCCAACCGTTCACAATAGCCGATTCACTATAGTTACTTGCTATCTTAGAGACTAACGCGTAGCCGAGGCAGTGGTGACGATCGATAAGCTGATAACTACGTACAATAGTTTGCGGTGGTCACATGAATAAACTTAGTTTCGTTTGCTTGTTGACAGCGTACCACATTTGGGATACCGTTTTTCCTGAAACGCACAGTGGTTTAAATATCCCGGTAGAAGTAGAACCGGAATCGGCTTTTGGACCGGGAGGTACCAAATTCTGGAGAGGAGCGCCAAGATCACATTTTGTTCACAATCGAAAGCCCTAAAAGGCGTGAGTTTAAGGGAATCCGATTCTACTTTCGAATCATGGTTACGATGATACGAAGACATTTTTTGGATGGAATACGCGGAGTTGGATGATGGTTGAAATCGCGACTGTTACTCCGAAAGCTCAAGATAAGCAAGCATGACTAATTTATTAATTTTATTTCCCTCAAATCCCCCGAAGGTGTTTTCCTTTGATGAACTTGCACAACTGTTGAAAGATATTTTTTTATGAACCGTCTTCTTCACTGAACTTTTGCTGCAACTGTTTGAATCCGGTTAGATCGGGCATTGATGACTATCTTACATATGCAAGCGTATTGAACCGTCAGTGTGAAAGATTCAAACTCAGAAAAAGGACAGAAGATCAATTTAAATGTCTCAGCTTTATCTGTGGCCTACAGTCACCACGAGATGTCGACATCCGAGCTCGATTGTTAAGCAAGTTTGAACAGAATCCATCAGTCAACGTTTAAACGGTTATAATGGCGTGCTAAAGTTTACTAAATCTCAAGCACGATACAGCAATTATAGATCGTACTAATCTATCTCAATTTGACCATGTGCATGCCGTTTCGAAGATTATTCAGAGGCCAGGTGCGAAGAAGCAATCGGTGGCGTTCAGTAAGCCACCTACGTCTTACTGGAAGTGCAATAAATGGCACTTCGCCCGTTTCTGCCCCTTCAAGAAGCACCAGTGTCAGAAGTGCCACAAAAAAGGATACAAAGAAGAGTGCTGCCGCACAACCTTCTCTCAACAAGGCAACAAACCATTCAAGCAAACAATGCGTCCTTCAAAGCCACACACCAAACCAGTACTAGTCAGTTTCAACCCGGATTGGAAACGTCAGAGAAAATTCGTCAGTTGTCTTAAGTGACACACAGGTACGTCTGCAACTCGATACCGCTTCCGATATCACAGTCATTCCCAAAGATATCTGGAAAATAATGGGTAGACCTCTTTTCAACTTCACAACTCGTGTTGCTCTAAACGCTTCTGGTGGAAAAGTTGTCTTAACACACAGGTACGTCTGCAACTCGATACCGCTTCCGATATCACAGTCATTCCCAAAGATATCTGGAAAATAATGGGTAGATAGACTTTCAACTTCACAACTCGTGTTGCTCTAAACGCTTCTGGTGGAAAATTACAATTGACCGGTGAGCTTCCTTGTTCTGTGCTGTGCAACAATATTCGTTTCACTGGAATGTTACTTGCCCTTGGTAGATGAATCCTATTTTTAGCACCATTTTTGACCCGTCTAGAACATTCCACGTGAGCTTTATGAACAACGACCCGTTTTCGGCTGGGCTGCACATGTCTGTACACGTCAGTGTTCAATAGATTAGTTGGTTAGCACGTTCATTGGCTTTTTGGTTTGGCTAAGCGCATCAGGCTAGGCTATGGCTCTCTGGACTCGGGTTCACGGTATTAAGAAGGCATTAAGAAAACTGTGGTCTACAACAGAAAACAACCTCATTTTTGTACTGGTCGAGAAGAGGTACCTTGATTTGCGGAGACTCCTGGATCTCTTTAAAGTGACTTCATATTGTGATGTCACCTATAAAATGTCTTTCAGCGGTACATAACTCACAGAGGCCAACCGATAAATTGAACAGTTTTGCCGTTGCACGTAAGTGCTAATCTGGGTAATCTGGGGGTAATCTGCGAAACGTCAGTATGTGTAAACCGGCATAACAATGTCGGAATTTTACACGCATATCCGGTGTCCCACGGTGGGCTACGGAGGCCTTAGTTGTGCAGATCATTCTTTTAAAGGCAAACTACGTACGACCTTCATCGCTTGCCAATTTCATTACCGTGTTGGAAAGACCAACGTTCACTTCTAGAAGTATTCATGTATGTGCATTAACTTGGTTGATACTGTGGGGTACATACTGATAACGAAACGGAAGACAATGGTCTCAAGCAGCCCAATAGACCATATTCCATCTTCGCTAGATGAATGGATTATGCCGACAACGAAACAACGCCGCATCAGATCAAACTCCAACGCATGACTAAATCACCGTTTTCAGAAAATTATGAAACACGAATAGTTAGTGTATTGCCTAGTAGTGTTCCGCTCTTGACATAA